GAGTATAGGTGTGCAGCTGGGGGTGTAGCTCATGTTAGAGTGAAAACAAAACAAAAAAGCGGGTATTAAATAACAAATATGAAGCTCTTAAAACTGCTAGCTAAGGAGCTGGAGAGATGGCTAAGTGGTTAAAAGCACTGGCTGGTCTTACAGAGGACCTGGGTTCAATTCCCAGCACCCACATGGCAGCTAACAATCATCAGTTAACTCCAGTTCCAGGGGATCCCAACACCTTTTTCTGACCTCTGTAGGCACTGCATGACACAGGTGCATCTACCTACATGCAGGCAATACACTCATACATATAAAATAAAAATAATAAGTAAAATATTTTTAAAAACTACTAGAGGTCATGTAATATCGGCTTTGCTTATCTCACTGATTTCACACCTTCAGAATATTTAAGAGTGGTGACAGGCTTTCAAAAAGGTTGACTCCTAATCTGTTTTCTTCAATAGGACTGAAATATATCCACATCAGCTTAAACTTTGTATATTCATTTAAGCCTCAAATTAAAATCATGTATAATTCTTCACAGACATGTTAAAACCTCATTTGGGGCTACATTACTTCAATACCTCTGCTCTTTATTCTTATTTGTTTTGAGTTTTCTGTTTGTTTTTTTTTTGTTTTTTTTTAAGACAGGGTCTCACTTTGTACACCAGGCTGGTCTCAAACTCATTGAGATCCACCACTTGCCTTTGCCTCCTGAGTGCTGTGATTAAAGGCATGTACCACCATGCCCAGCCCTTCTTTGAGGGGCAGGGTACTCTTTTCCATTCTTTTTAGAGCAACTGCATTTGTATCACACATGTGGGTTTTTTTTCTTTAATAATACAATTATATATATACAAAACAAGACTGGAGAGATGGCTCAGTTAAGATGGTACTGTTAAAAACAATGGCTATTCTTTTTTTTTTTTTTTAAGTCAAAGAGGGAAAAAAGAACAATGGCTATTCTTGCAGCAGGCCTGGGTTCAGTTCCCAGCATCCAAATGGTGGCTAACAACCATCAGTAACTCTAGTTTCAGGGGATCCAAAGTCCTTTTCTGACCTCCACAGGCACTGCATGCATGTGGTGCATTTATATACACACAAAGCAAAACACTCATACAAATAGACAGATAGATAGATGGTAGATAGATAGATGATAGATAGATAGATAGATAGATAGATAGATAGATAGATAGATAGATTAAAAAATCAAAAATAGCTGTAAACTCAATGGACAAGTGAGCTCAACAGTTCTCTAAAAATAGTTGTATATATTAAGCTTAGAAAATTAAAATTACAGAAAGTTATTGTGGTGTACAGAATATCGCCTCCCCACCTGTCCCTAAATTCCTGTGCTAATCCCTGAAACTGTGATATTCACCTTCTCTCAAAAAAGGAACTTTGCAGACCCCACTCAAGTCAACCTAAATGTTCAGGGTAGGCTAATGTCCTTAACTAAGGCCGTTAAAAATAGAAGTGGTGGTGCTTGCCTTTGATCTCAGCACTGAGGAGGCAGGAGCAGGTGGATCTCTGTGAGTTCAAGGTCAGCCCAGTCTACATATCAAGGTCCAGGCAAGCCAGTGCTACACAGTAAGACCCTGTCTCAAAAAAAAGGGCGGAGAGGGAGGATGCAGAGTGGTACAATACAAGGAGTCAGCCTGCCCTTGTTGGCTTGAAAGATGAAGGAGGACTGTGATGGCCTGTGAAAGCTGAAGAAAGCAGAAACAGACTCTGTGCTAGTGCTTCTCAAAGGGTGAGATTAATAAGATCAGAGCTCAGTCCAGTGCACAGCTAAGGGAGACTGTGTCAGACTCCTACCACACAGATCTGTGAGATCGTGCACACGTGCTAAGTTGCCAAATTTGTGTGAATTTGTTATAGTGGAAGTAGAATCCTAACGCAGCTATGAAATTAGAATGTGAAACTTTCTTATCTCAGATGTTTACTTTCCCAAAGCAGATCCATTTGTGTTAACCCCGAAAATCAATACACTAAGAGAAGAAATTATAGAGCATATTCATGTAAGAATGTTGAAATAAAATGTTAAGTCAGTTCTATCCCTCACCTTCCCTGTGAATATTGAGATAAATTAATATTACAAATCACATTTTAAAAAATATTTTATTATTTTTATTTTATGTGTACGAGTGTATTGCCTGCATGTACATAAGTGCACCCGTGTTGTGCAATGCCTGTGGAGGTCAGAGGAGGGTGTCAGATCCCCTGGAACTGGAGTTAAGGTCAGGTGTTAGCCGCCATGTGGGTGCTGGTGAAAAAACCCCAGATCCTCTGCAAGAGTAGCCAGTGTTCTTAACCTCTGAGCCATCTCTCCAGTCCCTGCAAAGCACATTTTAAAAAGCTAGGTATTCAAGTTGGGCATGGTGGCACACACCTTCAATCCCAGTACTCGGGAGGCAGGGGCAGGTAGATTTGTATGAGATCGAGGTCAGCTTGGTCTACATAGTAAGTTCCAGGCCAGGTGGAGCTACAGGGAGACCCTGTCTCAGAAAACCAAAAAGAACAACAATAATAAAAAGCTAGGTATTCTAGTAATCTACTGTTGAAACAAACCCTTTACGCTCACCACGCTACTTACATCATCCTCTTTGGTTCCACCCCAGAAATTGGTGCCTCCGGCATAGCTAGGGATATTCAACACCGCAATGCCTTGTAAACTGGGGAGAGGAATATACTGCCCATCACACTGCAAGGCAAAAAAAACAAACTTGTTAGCGTGTGCCTAAAATCCCAGTACTTGGGAAGTGAAGCAGGATGATCAGGAGCTCAGGGTCATCCTCAGTAACACAGAATGTTCAAGGCCAGTCTGGGCTACATGAGACCGTGTTTCAAAAAAAAAAAAAAAAAATTAGCCTGGAGGTTAGATAAAAAGAACAAAATCTTAAGTTTAGAGTATATTAAGATACCAAAACAAAATGTGAGAAGTATAATATGTTGGTAGTGTTTGCTTTCCTGTAAACACACTCCTACACATTACAAAAGCCTTTTTTTTTCTTAATTAAAAAAAAATTGACACCATTGCTGTAAATTCATACGAGCAAGGTCTCAGGAAACTGTAAGATTCAGTTTCCTTACGGTCATGCACCACCCCCGGCTCTTACAACCTTTCTGTCCCCTCTTCTGCAATGGTCCCTGAGCCCTGGGTGGCTGGAGTTCAATATATGAGTCCTGCCCAGGGACCCAGACTCTGCGCACTCTTATTCTCTACACTCTGGCCATTTGTGCCCTTCTGTGTTCATTGCTTTCTGCTGCAGGAGTGAGCTTCACTGATGAGAGCTGAGAGATGAGGGAGAGTTGATCTTCTTTATGAGAGAGACTTTAGATGGCCTACTAGACCCCAGTGGATGAACTTGTACTGAGGGAAGTCTGGGTACACTGACTTGACTCTATAGACCTTAACATATATGACAGAATACATGAAATCCAATGTGGGAAGGATTAACAGAGTGTGGTTGGGGGAGGGGGTATAAAGATGATTAAGATGTTTTGTATGAAAATTATAAAAATTCAATAAAAATATACATAAAAAATTGAAAAGTGAGGCTGGAGAGATGGCTCAGCGGTTAAGAGCACTGACTGCTCTTGTAGAGGACCCGGATTTGATTCCCAGCACCCACATAGTAGCTACGAACCATCCTTAACTCCAGTTCCAGGGGAATCTGGAAGCCCTCTTCTGACCTCCGTGGCATTGCACAACATGGGTGCACTCACATACATGCAGGCAATATACTCATACACATAAAATTAAAATAATAAATAATTTTTTTTAAAAAATTGAAAAGTGTAAATAACTAAAACAGAAAGTGTTATAAAAATTGAATTAAAAAATTAAAGTACAACCCCAGAGCAGGCTGCACTTTACTTGGCTCTTTTCTGACCACTTACGAAATTCTAACTTGTATTAACAGTACTTGTTTTAGGCACTCTGCTGAAAGCAGGCCCTGGAGGGGTAGGCTCTGATCCTATTCATCTCACCTGGCACCCCTCACAGTCTGGTGCCCTCCCTGTGCTCTGCACCTAACCCAGATCATCTAAACTCAAAGCTGAGTGGGTGGGGAGATGAGACAGTAAGATAGGTAAAGGAGCTTGCTGCCAACCCCTACAATCTGAGTTTGATCCCTGGAACCCACATGGTAGAAGAGAACCAACTCCCCAAGTTGTCTTCTGACCCTGATGTATGTACCCTGGTGCACTTTCAAACTTCCCAACACTAAAACACATATATACATACATACATACATACATACATAATGTAAAACAAACTCAAAGCTCAGTTGTTCATGCAGTTAGAGCCAAAGACAAGCAAAAACTGTGCACATTAGAAAGCACCCTATTCTGTTTTTGAGTTCACCTAAATGAAAATTAAATTACCACTTGGATGGAAAAAAAAGTTATAAGGTTGCTAGAACAACTACTCATGCTATGAATGAATTTTTACTGAGTAGAAGCAAAATTGATACATTTTCATAAATGTTGTTCTAATATAGGTGGATTTTTCTTAAATTAATCTTAAAAAATTCTATTCATTAGCTACTGAGAAGCAAATAATAAGTTAAGGACCAGAATGTTTGAAGAGATAGTTATGTCTGACCACCCCACAATACATCATGTAGCAAAAGATAACATGGCACCCCATAAGTATGTACATTTTAAATGTTGATTAAGAATATTTCAAAATTAAGCCGGGTGTGGTGGTCCACGCCTTTAATCCCAGCACTCAGGAGGCAGAGGCAGGCGGAACTCTGTGAGTTCAAGGCCAGCCTGGTCTAAATAGTGAGTTCCAGGTCACCTGGGGCTACAGGGAGACCCTGTCTCAGAAAGAAAAAAAATTGCAAAATTACTTAAAAACATACTTTATAATGATATTTAATATTTTAATAAGTGTTTAAAGAAAGAAACTGAACATTTTCCTATGTGAACATTTAATGAAGTTAAGCCTTTATTTTAAAAGAGAAGAGCATGCAGATATTACACTTAAAATAGATGCTATAACTCCATTGACATAATCCTTACATTAAAATTAATTAAGACAACTTCATAAAAATTTGTATTTTAATGCCCAATAAAACTATCTTCAACCTTTAGAAGAAATGAAGAATGTGGATGAATCCATTTTTATCATCTGAGCTACTGGGTTTCATTTTCACCCACTCTGCACCACATGACTCCTTACAATTGCTTTCTTCACCACGAAGGCACAGTGCTATTAAGCAGGTTGCATATTTCTCATTCGAAGATTCACAGTGCTTCCCAGAACTCAGGGACAGGTCTGGCACCTATTTAGTACTGCATTTTATTTGGAAAAGGAACGAATATGAATTATTTAGTAGAATAAAGAATGTTAGGATAGTTATCTTTCCTTTAGAACTGTTGATAATCTCATGACTTAGAATACATTTTTTTAAATGCTATTTTTTTAAGTATAAAAGAAGTATTTTTGGTTTGTATTTTTGAGACGGGGGCTCACTATGTAGCCCAGACTGGCCTTGAACTTGCAGCAATCCTCCTGCCTCAGACTCCCCAAGTACAGGATTACAGGTGTGTACTACCATATCTGGCATAAAAGGTTTTTTTCTGTTGTTAATTTAGAAGAGTTTAAAGGTTTTATAAGTGGATGCATTTTATTTGCATCCACTGAAAATGAACATTTTTCATATGCTGAATTTAATGTAAACTCCAGAATTAAGCGCACAATATCTATTTCATAGAGCACACAAGAAAAACATGAGCAACATGTATTTGACAAATTAAGGTCAGATTTCTGTAAAGCTTCTTATACTCTGGAAGAGCTTCAGGAATTTTACACCCTTTTGTAATCTCCCCATTATCCACATTTCCACGTGTGGTTCATGATGTTGACAGAGGCCGGGGAACTCCAGCTAGGCTCCCCTCTACCTCCTGATCCGCATGTCTTTTTCTGTTCCTTTGATGAAATAATGTGGTGTAATGGGACAGTGTGAGCCTGGTTTAAATTCGGTCAGTATTTAATTAGTCTCTTAAACTTTCAGAACTTTATTTCCAGTACAGTCAATGAGGTACAGTACAGGGAAGTATCTAGAACACAAAAAGGAACATAGTTGTTTCCATCTGTGGTTATAATTCCATATTGTTTTGCAGTAACAAAGCAGTGGATTTGATATTTTAGCTCCTCCGGGGTCAGTTTTTTTTTTTTTTTAATGTTAGCCAAGTGCCTTCCTTTTCTGAGATGAATACCTACCTCAAAAATTGTAAGAATTAAAAGTTAATAATATAGGAAAAAAACCCTCTGTGAATTCAACTATTGTAAAATGACCTACTCAGTACTTGTAACAAATTATTATTGAAGTGAATTAAATAAAGATAAGAATTACTACTATGTAACAGAGAAATTATTTAGGTTTTTTTTTAAAAAAAGATTTGTATTTATGTATGTGTGCCTGCATGAGTTTATGTGCAGAACGACATAAATGCAGGTGCCTACAGAGGGCTTCCAATCCCCTGGAACTGGAGTTACATGCCAAGCCATCTTTAAAGCTCCATACTTACGTTTCAAACAGTATAGATTATGAAAATATTTGAAAGAACCAAAAATGTAAATTAAATATTTGTTCTTTTCAAATTAACCTCTAAGCTTTTTTTTTTTTTTTGGAAAGGATCTCCCAGTCTACCTGGAACTCACTATGTAGACCAGGTTGGCCTCCATCTCACAGAAATCCGCTTGCCTCTGCCTCCCAAGTGCTGAGTGCTGGGATTAATGGCATATACTACCACACCTGGCATACCAAACCTTCTATGTTTATCACACTGAAATTACTCAAACACACTGAACCAAATTTGTTTTTACAATTTCCTAAATTCACGCACAAAGCAATTTCCTTACCTTGGCACTGAAGCAGTCCTTAAAGCTATTTACCTATCTTCCCAGACTTCCTATCTATACAGGACTCCTGTGATGTTAGCAAATGATCCTTAAAATTATACACTTCCTCACACCTTTGAAATTCTGCACATACCCCTTGCTTTGAAGTTTAGACAGAAGCTTTTATGACTGCTTAAGTTACATGAGTTAACAATTTTCTTTTTCCCAGCTATGGTGACCAACAACACTGCAGAAAACGGAGGCTGTGCCAGCTGAGTCCCGAGTGAGGGCATGAAGTCAAATTCACCAACAACCCAGTGTACCATGAGTGAGAAATAAAGCTATTTTATTAAAATAAACAAATTAAATAAGTAAACATTTTCCTAAATTCAGTCCAATGGCTCTTGGTCCTTACACAAAACCAATTCATATTGTCAAGTAAGAAAGAGCAAGAAAAATTAATATTATGCCAGTTCTTTCTATTCAAAGGGACTTTGCTTAATGTAAATAATAATATAGGCTGCTACAGTTCCTGGGGAGTTAGGGTTCCCTTTTGTGGACTTTTAGTCTCATTGATAGAAGAATTTAACAACAGAGTCAGAAGGAAGCTTGAAGAGCATTTTATTAGAGTTTGAAAGAAAAACAAGAGGGCAGGGAAGGATAAATCTTGGCTGGGGGAGGATGACAGGAGGAAGAGAGAGAGTCAGGTCTTTTGAGTTACAACAGTAAAAGCTATCTGTAAGCAGCTGCAGCGGGACGAAAAGGATCATCAGGGAAAACACCGAGAAAGCCCAGAGTGTCCTGGCAAACAGGCGTAGGATTCAGGCAGGCATCCAAAGAGATAGAGA